CCTCTTGCAAATACAAGGCGGCGGCGCTGCTTCAGTCACGGCTTTACTGTCTACACAGACCTATCGCACGCACGTCGAATGGATTCCCGTGACACGAATGCAAACTCTGGGAGCTCCTCTGTCTCTATAGGGAAAGGGTATTTCAGTGTTGAAGAGTTTTAGGGAGCAACAAGGGTGTAGACTTTCCAATTTCCAGGGGGGGGGGGCTGGGGCTGGGCCAGAGGCATTGCTTTGCTAGGAGCAAGGGTGGCTCCCGGGGGGGGATGGGCACCTTCCTGAAAATTTCGGTGGAGGCTGACGCCCCCGCGAAGATTACGCCTCAGCAACCCTAACAGCAGGTCGTCTCAGCAGCAAGTCTCACTTTATCCAACGGGGAAGCCATTCTTAGGGCCGCAGCCTTCATGGTACGCACAGTTTACCTGGGAGTAAATCCCACTAAGTCAGTCAGTCAAGCTCTCAAGGTGTGCCAGAAGGACTGTCATGCACGCTTACGCAGTGTTCCCTCTAAGCTGAATTAGTGTGAGCTAGCTCACAGTTTTTAAGCCTCCGGCTCGCAGATCTTTGTGTCAGCTCAGGAAGGAGGGCTCCGGAGCAAACCGATTTATGCAGCAGCCAAATCGCTCGCTCACAACTTCAAAGCCAGCCGCTCACAAAGCAGCATTTCTGCTCACACGACTCCACAGCTTAGAGGGAGCCCTGCGGGCCAGCAGCAGCAAGCGGAATCCAATGGGGCTTACTCGCCAGTAAGGGTGCCTCGGGTTAGCGCCTTCGACGACGGCAGGCGGCTGCAGTCCGGGGGACAGACGCCCCGTGGGTCTTCTCCTCGCCCGGGAGCGCGGCGCTGGCTGGCCAGCGAGGAGCCATTCCGCCGGGAACGCCCCGGCCACTTCGCTCATGACTTCATCCGACGCGCGTCTCATTTTAGTCTCTCCCGGCCGCGAAGGCCAGAACGCCGGGCGGGCGGCTCTCAGTCCCCGGCCGAGACTCTGGCCGTCATCCTGGGGCGAGCGGCGGCTTTGGAGCAGGTGCCTTCTTCGACCTCCCGGTCCGCCCGCAGGCTGCCTCCTCCTCCGTGCGCCGGTTGAGGCCGAAGGCGGCGTCCGCCCGCGTCTCCTGCGGTCTTTCCCACCAGCCAACCCCCCCCCCCTTTCTGGTCTGGGCTGTCAGCCCGGGGGGAAGGCGATCCTTCCGCGCCGGGGGCTCCTCCTCAGCCTGCAGGGGTCAGCCGCGTCGCGAAGGCACTCCGGGCGCTCCGTCTCACGGTCCCGTCCTCGGCTGCAGCCACCGCCGCCGCCAGATTAAGAGGCCGGCGAACAAATGGGGACGCTTCTGGAAAGCAGCCAGAGCTTTTCCCTGCAGTCAGGGCTCGGCGGCGGGGGCGGGGGGATGCTCCCTCTAAGCCGTGGAGTCCTGGGAGCAAAAACTCTACTCGGCGAGCTACCGGCATTAAAGTGGTGAGCGAGCGATTTGGCTGCTGCATAAACTAGTTTGCTCTGGAGCCCCATCCTTCCCGAGCGGAGACAAAAATGGGTGCGCCGGAGGTTAAAAAAACGGTGAGCTAGCTCACACTAACTCAGCTTAGAGGGAACACTGGAGAGGTCCCTTTGAACACCCAAAAACCTTATGCTGGGAATCAGGGAATCAGCATTGAAAAAAGCCATGGAAGAAGAAGAAGAGGAGGAGAAGGAGGAGGAGATTGGATTTATACCCCGCCCTTCACTACCCAAGGGAGTCTCAGAGCGGTTTACAAACTCCTTTCCCTTCCCCTCCCCACAACAGACACCCTGTGAGGTAGGTGGGGCTAAGAGAGCTCTGACAGAAACT